GGGATTACGCGCTTTGCCCCGCAAAAACAAATAGTTTCTCTACTAGCTCATTTCTATTCCATCTCGGTCCATAAATACGCAAAAATGAACTTGGCTAATATCCAACCATCTTGACCTCACGCTTGGTCAATTAGCCATAGATGTTTTTGAGCCTGCAACAAAAAGTGAGTCGTTATAGGTTTCAGTTTGTGGTTTATAAAATAGTGAAAAGTAAACAGGTAAAAGTAAAAAATTTTAGAGTTCTTTCTTACATGTCCTTATTAACAAACGGTAGTCAAATGTCTTGGAAACCATCAAAATGTCTACTTTCATTTTGCGCTGATACTGAGAGCACAAGTAAAAACATGGCGCGTTTGATGAATCACCCTGCCCATCAGGCAACGCGCGTGTCAAGATGTTCTTAACACGAACTGGTGCAGTGCGAGAGAACGCCATGGAGGTTGTCTCGTCTTCTCCTTTTGCAGCTCCCTCAGTAAGCCATGCCTAGAAAGGAAAAAAATAGCTCTATTAGCTCTACACAACAAAGTAGACACAAAACGTTCGTGCCTACTCATTATTTAAGTGCCTATGAGTTAAAGAATACTTGCTGCTTATTTGAAAGGGTTTCAAAGTAAAGAAGAATGGCGTTTTTCTGTTTGGATTATCTTCTCTCGTTTTAGAGATATCCTTTTTTTTTGTATCACTAAAACAGTAAAATACTGAATCAAGAATATCTCTACATATATTAGAGTGGTGTTCTTTAAACTTGGCACCAGAAATGTACATCACAAAAAAAAAAAAAACACAATGACACCCGTGGTGCCGTTGCTATGACAACAGTTTTGCCACTGGTCTTTTTAATTAAGTCTGAAATTGTTAACCAAGGATCATCCACTCCTAATAATCTAATGAAGAGAGTTAAAACAATATGGGCAACATGTGTGTTCTGAGGAAGACCCGACCTGTCCCAAGGGTTAAGTTACAAACGGGGATTTGGCTTTTGACAGAAAAAGACTTCTTCGTCTTAACTAATAATCATGGAAATTTGAAGAAAAACTACCAAAATTTTACCTTAACACGAACATCTCTACAAGAGGGAGTAAGGAAGGTAAAGTCATATCTGATGTCTTCCTTAACTGCATGGGATTCCAGATGCTCTTCAATTCGCTCAATTTCTATATCGTCTAAGCCACCTTCGAAGATTGAGGTCCTCCAGCTTGCTTTTTCCTCGAGTTTTTCTTTGATTTCAGCAAGAGTGAAATAGTCCTCTTTTTCGTCGTCTGAATCAATAGAAGAAAATATTACTATCCAGGTGAACATTCGATATGGCTACAAGCCAACGAAAAATCCAAAGTTAGTTTGATCAAAAATAATTTTCGGATTCTTCTCTATCACGTTTGTATATATACCAAATGAATAGTACAGGAAAACTTGACTGAAGACTTTTACCTCCATGTTTTGCGGGTACATTTTGCATGGGTGAACTCCCCGGGGTCAACTCACGGACAACTCTAGTTTCTCATACTCAACGTTACTCTGTTCATTAACCGCGGGAAAAAAATATGAGATTATTTACGTAACCCGGTCACTAGTTTTGCCATGTAAGAGTTTCATAACCCTGCTTTTTAAAATTAGCCGTCGTCTTTCGTGTTCCTCAGACCGCGCAAAACTTGGTCATTTCATGTTGTTGTCTTGCAGAGGACGGCAAAGAAATGTGCAGAGATTTATAACGCACGTGCACAGCCATTGCTTTGCTCATTTAATAAAACCTTTTGTTTGATGACGATCTCGTTGCCGTCGTCGTCGTGGTTTGTTTAAGCTCCATGTTCGTCATTGCATCACTTCAGTGAAATTCCAACTCAAAGAATAAAACCTGCTGAGTGAAACTTTTGCATCTTTTTCTCACCTTCGCTTATTTCCTTTATGTAGGCATGGCCGAGGTGACACCAAATAACTACTTTTAAGGTCTCCTCTTCCTTTTCTTTGTGAATGTTCTTTAACACCATGAGGAGTTCATCTCTCAATATGTTTATGTCAGTGAAGCCATCCTGTTCATCCTGTAAAGTGTGCATGTCAGATGTTAGTATACAAACCGGTCGATGTAAAACGCAGACTGCAGCCTGCATACTAACCTGTTAGCTCCGTTAGCTCTCAATGATGGTAGTCTATGGAAACGGTGACACGATTCAATTAAAAGGTCTAGAGTCTGCGTTTTACGTCCACAAACCTCAAAGACTAAGAAGGCGGTCGCTTCCCTCAGAATTAGTGTATTAACGTTTGACTAAAATTACCTCCATATCTCGTGGGGAATGCTTTAGTTGTTTCAGTTGATAGTATTTAGTTTCCTCAGGGCTGTAATCGTTTGGAGGTTGTACGACGGACAGTTCAAACTTGCGGTTCAAGTCCAAATGGGTTGTATCCACGTGAACACGCCGCACTTGATGTTGTTGACCAGACTGTGAGCGTCTTATCAAAATGTTCTTGAGTAAAAGAAAATTACAATTACAAAAGTGACAATAATCAATAGAACTGTAGATTGGACTGGTTCTAAAATAATCTGATTGATTGATTGAATTCTCACTTGACCTGCAACAGTGAGGATTTAATTTGGAGAAATTCTAATTCAATCTGAAGTTCAGTCTTCGTTCGTTTAGTTTCTAGGGAAACCTAGCAAAAATCTCGGCCGGGCTGTTCAAAGCCCGATTAAGCTAACCCACGATTGGCGAGCATTTTGATTTCAGTTTTGTAACTTTTCGTTGAGGTTTTCTGTTTATATTGTTTGTCCTTCAGTTTTGAATCTGAATAATCTCAGACTACACAAAACATAAACTTGTGGTGAAAAACACTTTTAAACGAGAAAATTAATAGTTTGGTGAACTTTTAATCCTGGACTAGCGTTAATCAGTTTCGAACAATGCGACCTTAAGGGAGGATGGGTAGAAATGAGTAAGTACAGTTGAGCTGCACTGGCATCCGAAGGATTACCAATACAGTATGACCTGTATCAAACGGTTATGAAACTTCTGCGGGTAATTGAATTCTGATCTCATAGAAAAGATGCACAGGAGGGTTGTGCGATTGATTGTAAGACATCATAGCAGTGACGAGGCAATAGAAGATAGGCGCAAGAAGCATGTATACATAATCTAGTCCTTAGATACATTAGTTGCAAAGTGCCTCAGTTTTTTAAAAACTATTTTATTTTGAATCAAGATATCTTGCTTCGACAGACGAGGCAGGGTAACCTTTAGCATTTGCCACGAGTACCACTTATTGTAACGTTCGCTTAATACGCTTTTGATGTATTCTCCTCTGGTTCACATTACAAAATCTAGAACAGATCGAGTGAAGGACCTCACTGTAAACCTGCTGTACGGATCACCTTCATAGCAACACTTACCACTTGCTCCTTTATTTCCCGAATAGCTCTCTTTTGGTTCTCAGGAGATCCCTTGATATAGAGGCCATTCCGTCCCCAGACCTTCAAAGTTGCCCCAGTTTTTTGTCCTATTTTGTTTAAATTTTCGCTGTTTCTTCCAATAACTGTACCCATATATTTCTCGGGTATAAAGTCCAGTTTTTCCCAAGAACCTTCATCAGGGCTGTCTTCTCCCTGGGTATTGAATAAGAGAACATAAACTAACAATCCGGAACATATGGAAAAGGAAGGGCAAAACAAGGAATGGATGGCAGAAGGAAAGAAGGAAGGCAGACAGGCAGCTAGTCGGCCTTACATGAGGCAGGCATACAGGCATATACAAACAGATAGGCTCAGGATTAAACAGGTACTGGCAGGCAGACAGAGAGGCCGACAGCCAGCCAGACAGACAGACAGACAGACAGACACACAGACAGACAGACAGCTAAATAAACAGACAAACAGAAAGGCAGCCAGGTTCACTGTCAGACAGGCAGACAGGCAGACAGGCAGGTAGGTAGCAGAACTGAAGGAAGGAAGAGGGTGGAAAGAATGAATGGTTTAAGGTCAGATAAAAAGACATTTTGCAAAGACGTACACGTATGATCTCGTTAATGACCATTTTAGCTTTAGTGCGCTGTTCCTCTGTTCCTGTTAGGCGAACTTGGTCGTCTTTGATGACCAGTGCTTGAACTCCACTTTGCTCCACTATATCTTTTTTTCTCCACCCCTTTTTCCCTATAACATGTCCTACTTTGTCCTTGGGGATTTGTATCACTTCTTCTTGGTCATTATGTGCAGGTTTATCATTCAAGCTAAAGCTTGGTTCGCCTTGTCTTCCACTTCTTGGATTGTCAGTGTTTCTTTGGGTCCTGGAATCTTTCCTTGCCTGTGAATCACGTGACATGACTAACAATCTAAGAAAACAAGGAAAGTATTTAATCTCCTAGCCAAGCAGAGTCGTGAAAGAAAGCCTGGTTTTCCCTAGCGACGCAAGCACAAGTGCAAGCACAAGCGCTAACACAATAATTCTTATTTCACCGACCGTGAAAACGGCTTTGACGCGGGCATAAGCACACGGGCAAGAACAAGCACAAGGATCAAAATTTTTCCTTTTTCTTGTGTTTGCGCTTATGCTTGCATGCGTTTACACTGCCACACGTAAAAACGAAATACCGCTCAGGGATAACGCAGGCACAAGGATATCTACCACACGTGGTTAGGTTTGGCCATTGAAAACACTGGATCCAGATTACCTCGCGCCTAAGCAGTTTGGAAGGTTAGTAGTAGTAGTAGTAGTAGTAGTAGCAGTAGTAGTAGCAGTAGCAGTAGCAGTAGCAGTAGCAGTAGCAGTAGCAGTAGCAGTAGCAGTAGCAG